TGTTGCCCCAGCAGATCTTTCATACAGATGCAGCCTTTAGAAAGAGGAAGGGGATGGACTCCTGCTCACAGGGATTGTTTTTCTATGCCTACATCTCTAATGCCAGATGATAGGGAAATTGACACCTGGCATTGACTGTGATGGGGAGCTCAGTATTGTGCTAAAAGATTTCTACATATGACTTCTTCAGTGCTCATACAAATAAGAAAGTGTGTGGTGTCAGTGCCAATAATGGTTTAAAAAAATTAGACAGGTGTGGTGCTTGAGGGAGGTCTCACAGCTAGAATGGCAACAGGTGTTAGACTCAGTTGGTAGGTTACCAAGGACTATTCTTTTCTCTTCCTGGTTCATTCTCTCACTAAAGGTGGATCAGGCCACTTGTCTCAAGCCTGCTCAAAGCCAAGAGCCATTCATGCGTGGGTAGCCCTTGTACACTGTCTAATCTTAGAAGCTTGTGTTGTGATAACCACTGATTGTCCACTTCTCATATTCTAGTCCACAGTTGTTCCCAGCTTCTGGAAACTTCCCTTGATCCATTTATGAAGTAGCTTCTTTTATGGCCTTAACATATGTGCTAGTTTGGACACTGAATGGGCTTCATGTGTCCATGTCTGTTTCTGTGTCTGTGTGTGTATTAAGATACATACTTGAGGTCTCTTCCCTCAGTGGAGCTGCTAGGCCATGCCTTGGGAAAGAACATTCTTGAGGCTGAGAGATGGCTCAGTAGTTATGATCATGTACTGTTCTTACAGGATCCATTCTAAACACCCTCATGGTGGCTCACAACTGTCTCTGACTCCAATACCAGTAGCTACAACACCCTTTACTGTTGTTCATGGTCACTATATGTAAGTGTTATAGATAAATAAATAAATAAACCCTTAGAAAAAGATGTTCTTGACAAAGCTTACTAACCAACTTCCTAGAGAAAGAGTGGCTTTGTTTTCTAGGAAATAGTGCAGGTGTCTTCCCTGTAGAGAAGATCCTGTGGAGGCCTCTGAGAGACTTGGCTCTTGAGGGTGCTTGAGTAGTGGAACATTTTGTCTCCAACTTTGAATACTGATGTGTGAGTTGAGGCTTCAGGCTAATGTAATGTATTCAGCTAGAAGTGATTCAATTTCTGTTAAATACTTAGGAAGCATGAAATAAATAATTGACAAGTGTCTTAGTAACTATTCCATTACTGTGAAGAGACATCATGACCAAGGCACCTCTTACAAAAGAAAGAATTTAATTGTGGCCTTGCTTACAGTTTCAGAGATTTAGTCCATCATCATCATGGCAGGTAGTGTGGCAGCACTCACGCAGACATGGTGCTGGAGAAGTAACTGAGAGTTCTACATGCTGATTAGTAGGTGTGGGGGGGGGATAACAGACAGATGTAGAGAGACAGGCAGACACTAAGATAGACAGACAGAGAGGCGAGACAGAAAGAGTGACTGGGCCTGGCACAGGCTTTTGAAATCTCAAAACCTACTTCCAGTGACACACTGCTTCTAACAGTCACACCCAATCCTTCTAATCCTTTCAAATAGCCCTAGTGTCTAAGCATTCAAATATATGAGCCTGTGGGGGCCAGTCTTATTGAACTAACTACAATAATTATAGTATTGCAATTTAATTGCAGGTGAGAAGACTGACTTTGGCTAAATGAGCAAAAGAACTGTTGAGCTAACTGAAAGAATACAAGGGGAGATCTGCAGAATCTGCCTGCAGCCAAGGGAAGTAAGCTCAGGAGAGGAGGGTGCTGCCATTGTTTCGCTAGGCTCCATTCCCTTCAGGCTCTTCTTACAGATCAGATTCCTTAGGGATCTTCAGTGATCCCATGGCCTTCCCAAAATCACATAAGAAGGGTGAAAGAGCATTCCATGGAAGGTACCCTGGGCTGGCAGGCAGAGTCACCAGAGAACACATGGTAACCCTGATCTCTGGTATTTTATAATTACAGAGTACAGACTGATGACAGTAGGCCATGGTGGTTGCTATAGAAGGTCTTTACCAAGCAGCGGGAGCTTAAGAGAGGTTTTGAATTTTGCATGGGAAACACAGGATTCAGGCTGTCTGTAAGTGAATTCTAAAGATGAATATGATTTTGGTAGTTGGATAGATGGTGTTTTTGATTAGAATCCTTGTGTGGCAGCATGGAAAGGAAAACATTGCATATAAAGGAATGATGTGTCTAGGAAATGAAAGGAATCTCAGGTGCAATGCAAGAATGCATTGAGGGAGAAGTGTAGGTGTGGCTGGATTTTAAAGGCCCTGTATGTTCTACTGGGCAGAGGGATTTTAGTCCAAGGAGATGAGCTGTCATTATATGACCTTGGGTCAGGAAGTTTGAGTTTTTTGGAGATAGTGTGGAATGAGTAAGAGTACCCTCGGATTCAGCTCCCCATGTGAATGTAACCATTAAGTGTGGGATGCTGACTCTCCCAGACCAGACAAAAGATGAGATGCTGGGAGAACCCTTAAAGAGATTTTCCAGGTAGTCAAAATTTTCTATGGGAAGTTTTTTGGATTTGCTTTTTTTCTTTTCTTTTCTGTTTTCTTTTTTTATTTATTTTATATAACCAAGTCCATTTAAATGAAAACAAACATTTATAGACAATATTTGGGAATTTGGGCGTTGTTCTTTCCAAACTACTTCCTGCTGGTAAGGGGCACTGTCATGGGGGATTCGAAGAAGATTCAGAAATCCTGGCTGTAGTCTGTAAGGCTGCTTGGTCCAGCTGTTCTGAATGTAGGATCCCCTGGTACTCTGTTTCAGGTGGTCTGGCTTGATCAAACCACATTAATCTGGGAGGAATCCACATCTTTTCATTTTCTGTGGAAACAAAAATAGAAATACTTTTCCCCAGTAACTTGTCCTTCAACTTAAATTTTGGAGTCAAAGCATTTTTTTTTTTTAAATTTAATTTATTATTTTACATGTCGATCCCAGTTCCCCCTCCCTCCCTCTCTCCCTCCCTCCTTCTCTCCCTTTTACCCTCTCTGCCCTCTCACATGCACTCTAAACACCCTCCCCTCCCATCCCCCCACCCCAATTCCACATGTAGGGGAATGCCATCCAGTTGGGGTCATGTAGATCTGACAGGTCATGTGAAGTTGGGACTAGGGCTTCTCTCCTGTCTCTAGATTAAGGCAGTTAACCCTCCATAGGGGATGTGTTCGCAAAGTCCTTTTGTGCACCAGGGATACATCCTGGCTCCACTGTCTGAGGTCCCTTAGACTGCTCAGTCCTTCTGGCTGAGACCCATATTCAGGGGGTCCTGAGTCAATCCCATGCTGGCTTCCCAGCTATCAGTCTGGGGGCCCATTAGCGCCTCCTTGTTCAGGTCAGCTGTCTCTATGTGTTTCTGTAATCTGGTCTTGTCCTCTCTGTCTTCATCTGGGTTCTAGTTTGACTCAGTGTTTAGGTATGGGTGTTTGCTCCTGTTTCCAACAGGCATTAGTTGAGGGCTCCATGGATAAGTTAGTTGTTGATCTCACTCTCCGGGAAGGGCATTTATTGTAGCCTTTCCACGGAAGCTCAAATTATTAGTTGGCAGCAGTCTTGTAGTTCTCTAGACCTTTCTTTGTGTTCAATTTTATCTTCAAACCAATATTGGCTCCCTCTTTTATGTTCTCTCTCTCTCTCTCTCTCTCTCTCTCTCTCTCTCTCTCTCTCTCTCTCTCTTTCCTGTCTTCTATTAGTTTTTTGGATTTGTACACGTGGTAATGGATGATGTGGGGCCTGGCCATTTTCATTGCTTGTGGACTTTTGAGCCGTTGAGGGTGATGTAGCTGGATATAGAAGGCTATAGGCCATTGAAAGGTGTGATGAAGCAAGGGTAGGGTTCCTCTGCCTCACCTCCACTCTCAACAGCCAGGGTTCTGTGTGTTCACCAATCAGCAGTGTCCCCTGTGTAGCACTTGTCTGGGAGAGAACAATCAGGAAGAATGTGGAAACAGTTCAGGCTTTTGTTGCTGGTTGGGAATGGAGTCACTTCCTCTGGATAGCCATTTTGTAATTCTGTGGAGGAAGGTACATGACGTTGAGAAGGTTTGCATTATCTGAGGTCCTGGTGGGGAGGGGTCAGGGGGAGAACTTCCTTTTTCTTGTAAACATGCACTCTTGGATAGGGAACAACACGATTTTCTTTGCAATAGTAGTTTCTAAATACAGTAAAGTTTTTACTTCAGCTATCATGCTTTGCTGAATGCTTATAACTTGTTTAACCCACATGGGTAGGTTACAGTCTGCCAGTTACTAAACCTTTCTTAGTTTTAGGTTCTTCAGCTGGAGTGAGTTACAGAAATGCCACCACCAGTAGCAACCAGATTGGACTGGGTGTGGAATCCAGTGACAGAGCACTTTCCTAATGCTTGTGAGGCCTAGGTTTTGACCACCAGTATAAAACAAAGCAAAACAAGACAGATGAGCAACAACCAAGACCCTAATCTTGAGTATACAGTATACTAGATCCTGAACACTGTAAGGAGTATGTTTTTTTCCGCCCATAGTACACATTATTATCTCATTTACTTATCTTTCTTTCTTTTTAGTTTTTTGAGGCAGGTTTCTTTTTGTATCCCTGACTGTCTTGGAACTCACTCTGTAGACCAGGCTAGCCTCAAACTCAGAGATCCATTTGCCTCTGTCTCCCAAGGACTGGATTTAAAGGCACTACTCCCCAAATAATACCATTTATTTCTTAACTAACTCTATAAAATAGTGCTATTAGCTTTGGACAATTAAGGAACCCCAGGCCACACAAGCTGAGTAGTAACTTGCTTGTCCCTTCTTCTCCCTTGCACAAAGTCAGGGGATGGTAGAGCTTGTATTTAATCATAGACAACTCCAGAGTATTATAACATTTTGTTCATTTTAAATAAAATTATATGTAATTATATAAATATAGACATATAGGCACCTATCTATCTATGCATTCTTAAATACAGTCATAACAGTGGCTGTTCATTGTATTGTCACTCTCACTCTGGCCTGTTCTGGTCTCTTGCAGAAGCAGCTGACACAGGATGATGACACTGACGAGGTTGAGATTGCCATCGACAATACAGCCTTCATGGATGAGTTCTTCTCTGAGGTGGGCAGCCTTCCTGTGGTTTTTTTTTTTTTTTTTCCTGAATGTACTTGAGGAAACACAGTTTCCTCAGTAAGAATAAAGAAACCTCTGATCTTTCAATGCTGGCAAAGGAACAGATGGTCAGGCATCATTGTTCCAGAGAGATTCTGTTTTGAGTTCTTGGGAGTATCTAGACTTTCCATCTTATTAAGGAAGTCAGCAGAAAGAGACTGGAGAGATGGCTCAGTGGTTAAGAGCACTTGCTGTGCTTCTAGGGCAGTGGTTCTCAATGTGTGGGTCATGACCCCAGGCTGAATGACCTTTTCACAGGGGTCACCTAAGGCCAGTGGAAAACACAGGTATTTACATTATGATTTATAACAATAGCAAGATTACAGTTATAAAGTAGCAAGGAAAATAATTTTGTGGTTCTCAATCTTCCGAATATATGAGGAACTGTATTAAAAAATGTCACAGTATTGGGAAGATTGAGAACCACTGTTCTAGAGGAACCAGGTTGATTCCCAGCACCCACACGGTGACTCACACTATCTGTAATTCCAGTGCCAGGGATCTGATTCCTCTCTTTTAACCCTGTGGGTATATTGTACATATATACATGCAGACAAAATGCCCATACACATAAAATAATAATAAATAAATAAATAAAGATTTTTAAAAGGTCAGCAGAGGGTAAGTTATATGTAATTGAAGATAGACTTGTAAGTACATGGTAACATTTTAATGATGTCTTTTCTTAATTAAAATTATATAATTTAAATATATTGTCAACCTTGGGGTCACAGCTAGGAATAAAAACAAAATTTTTGCTTCTTTAGCCTTTGGTTCATATTGACCAAATTTGTTGTTTCTTATAATTTTCCTAATTGTCTTAATTCCAGTGGTGGCAGAGAGAATGAGATGCTATTGACATGTGTTTGTAAAGTCACATGCACCTACAGATTCATGTGTACTTTGGGCAGTAATATGGAGTGGAAGAGGCATGGGGAATGGGGAAAGGACCATGTCAGGGACACAGACTCTGGCTTTGGAGCTGAGTATACTCAAGTTCAGCTCTCAGCCTGCTTCTGACCAGATTGATTCTGCGACTGTTCCTAAACTCCGCTGAGCCTTGTTTTCCCTATGTGAAATTGGAATCAGTTATATAATGATTTCCCATAGGGCTATATTGATTGGGTCCAATTATGTTCATAAACTGTCCAGGGTATTTCCAGGCACATATGCACACAGTGACTAGTACTTAACACCCTCTCCTTCCCAGTCTTACTGTCCCTGTGTGTCCATGTCTACCATTTTCTGTATTTATCTTTTCATTCTCCTGGAAAGAAATAAGAGGCTTCATTTTCTTTCTGAGTAGCAATTCAGGGGCATCCCACTATCTGGATTGTGTGTGGAGAAGCGGTGTTCCAGAGTTCCCCTGGACGGAGTGGAGTGGAGCTTGACCATTCATGCCTGCTCACCTGCTAGATTTAGAACTAGGCTGAAGAGCTGACTTGAGTGTGTGTTGACCTGACTGGAAAGTCAGCTATAAGCCTCCACACCCTGCTTGTGGGTGGTTGAGGTCTAACAACACTTGTGTTGTTCTGCTTGTGGACAGTAGAAGACAATGCTCTTGTTCAGTGGTGGAGGTGGACTTGAGTTGATGTCAGAAGACATGGTCTCTTGTCATGCCAGCTTGTCCTGGAGCCTCACGTGTTAAAGAATATCTTCTCTATGATGAGGAATCTTTTCTAGTAGCTGTGTTTTCCCTCTTCTGAACCACGGGAGAGTCCCTGGAGGCAGTATTCCTTGCAAGGTAGGAGGATGGTGGGATTTAGTCTGTGAGTAAAGACTAGAGTCTGCTTTCCTAGTTAGTACTGGTACATAGTCATGATCAACTTTTGTTGGAAGGGACACAAAGAGAGTGAATACTTTGCAGAGAGATTAAGATCACCAGGATTGCCACAGAGCCTAGCATGATACATCCTCTAGAGATGACCACATGCTGCCTAAACATGGCCAGGGACTGTTACTAAACAACAGGGCAGGGGTTGGGCATGGCTGTTTGGGCAATAAGAATGTTCATTCTGAATGGCAGTGTGAGATGCCATAATCCTCTATGATCAAGTGTTTGAGAAATTTCCATTTTTTTCCTGTTAGAAATGTATTTGTTTAAAGATATTACTGTCTTTATTTATTTATTTAATCACATTTATTTAGTGTATGTGCGCCTTGGCACTTGTGTAGGTCAGAGGATGACTTAACTTGAGAAAGTTGGCTCTCTGGCCATGTGTGTCTGAGGGGTCTAACTTGGGTGATGGAAAGTGTCCTTACTCTCTGAGCATTCATGCTGGCTCTCTCTCAGACATTGAGAATGTACATGGTCTTCCCAAGGGCTCCAAGAAATTCCGTAGTGAAGGCACTTGCTTTGCTAGGCTCTTCAGTGTTTAGCACATCACAGATCTGACATGGAACTTTTATTAACAAGGTTGAGTGACTATTCTTTGGAAACTGTACCACTTCTTTTGGGGGAGTCTACCTTAGTTTGGGCTGCTGTCATACTGTACATAGTTTGGATAGCCTGTAGGTAATAGAGACTTACTTGCTGTGGTTCTTGAGCCTAAAAGTTTGCTTTCAGGGTACCAGCATTATTGGATTGTGTTGGGGCCCTCCTAGACTTCAGAGTACTTCAGCTTGCTGTGGCCTCACAAAGTGGAAAGAGAGCAAAGGCAGCTAATCCTGTTCGCGAGGGATCCACTTCACGACCTAGTAACCCACAAAAGCTCTGCATTTAAATACCTTTACATTAAGAATCAATGGGGGGGGGCACAGTGTGAATTTGTGGAGGCTCAACATTCAGTGTACTTAAAAAAATGAGACTATTTTGCTGGGGGGTATGAAGCATATTTCTTTCTCTCTCAGGTATGTTTATATGCACATTTATGAATATGTGTGTGTGGAAAACTGGAGAGAAACCTCAGGGGTCTACCTCAGCATATCAACCTCTTTTTAGAAATTGTCTTTCATTGGCACAGACTCACCAGCTGGGCTGGCCAGATATCTGCCCGTCTCTGCCTTGCCAGTGCTAGGATCACAGACATGCCTATATACCTAGGCTTTTTATCTGAGTTGTGGGGAATTGAACTCAGCTTCCTTAGTTTACAAGACAAACATAGTAACACAATAAATAAATGACCCAGAGACTGATATTGTGGTTCAAACTTCAAGATGAAGATCAGAAAAGCAAAGCAGCTGTCCACTAGCTCTTACTCTGCCTCAGGCTGAATGGGCTGATCCTGTCTCCATGAGCTCTCACCAAGTCTGAGACTATAACCTTGCCTCATGGCTGGAAAATGAATGCCTGGTACTGAGACCTTGCTCCTGTCTTATATACCTCCCTAATGCTTGGATTAAGGTATGTGATCCCAGGTGCTGAGATCATCTTCGTGTGAGCTGTTTCTCTTTAGGACTGGATCAATCTTGTATTGATCTGGGTGGCCTTGGACACACAGAGACCTGTCTACCTCTTAATCCGGAATCCTAGGATTAAAGGTGGGCACCACTACTTCCTAGCTTCTGGCTGCTGGGATTAAAGGGGCCTGGCTTCTATGGCTTGTGACTGACTTTGTTTTCTAAATCCTCAGGCAAGTTTTAACAAATCATAAATAATATATCACCTCAAAACATTTTACCAACTGAACCATTCCCCACAGCCTCAAGCCTGCTTATTTATTTAAGTTACATTCATTAAACAGCTATTTACAGAGTGACTGTGCGTTTGGCATCATGGGGTCTTTCAAGTAGTCTGAGATGAGAAACACAGCCCTGGTATTTGAAGCATCCAGATCATACTTATAAAATAGGCCAAGTTCTTCAGAGCCTGTCTGGGGGGGGGGGGTGTGTGGTTAGGGAAGGATGGGTTGGGATGGAGCAGTAAGAGATACAGAGGGACTAATCTTGAAGCACAGGGGTTTGTGTTTGGGCTTGAGTTTTGTTAGAACTTAGGACCTTTCAAAGTGATTATAATTTGGAAATCTAAGCATTAGGAACTTGTTAACTCTTTCGGTAGGGTATTTGTATGAGAGGGAAGTAGGCAAGCTGGTAGATTCTGATTTCTAGGCTCTTCCAAAAGTGAGGCAAGAAGCCTTGGCTGGTCATTTGGTAATTTGCTTTTAACCTTTCTCCCATTTCCTTTCCTGCATTTTGTTGGGAAATACATTAAACTATATTATACAGAGTAGTAGATTGGTGTGACATATATGTATACACTGTGCTCTGTTCAAAGCCACCTGTCCTACTATGTCCTTACTTTCTATCTTGGTCCCTACTAGTTCCTAGTAATGGCTCACCTACTTTCATGTCTGTCTCTGTGTGTGTGTAGTGTATATATAAATTCTTTCTGAGTGAAAACATACCTAGTTGACTCTCTGAGACTACTTTAACTTGATTTTTTTTTTACTTAATATGATAACCTCTAATTCAGTCAATTTTCCTAAAAATAGCAGTTCTTTATAGCTCAGTAATATTCTGAGGTGCACACATTTAAAAACTTCATTCATCAGTTGGCAGTTTAGGCTGATTCTCTGCCTTGGTAACTGTGAGTATTGCCACAGTAAACATGGGTGTGAGGTATTTCTACTGCATGCTGACATCATGTCCTTCAAGTGTATTTGTAGGAGGGTTGCAGCAGGATCATATACAAGTCCTTTTTTGCTTTTTGAGAGGCCGCCATACTGATTTCCATAGTGGCTGTACTAATTTACACTCCACCCATTGTCTGTTTCCTTTATCCACCATGTTCGTTATTTTTATGATTGACATTCTGATTAGGGAAAGTTAGTGTTTCAACTTAGTTGATTTGAGAATATTGTCTTAGAAAACTTGTTTTTATTGGTCAGTCCAACTCTGAGGTCATACTTTTCATTCATAAAGAGAAGCTGAAAAACCAAGTCATGGTAAAACCTTCAACTCACCCAGCCACAGTCTGCCAGAACTCTGTTTTTCTGTTGTCTCATTAGAATCCACTGGAGAAAGAGGCCATTGATGTCTTCAAAAGAACTACCACCTGGCTCGGTGGTTAAAGTGCTTGCCATGCAATGTGGGGACCACAGCTCAGATCTCCAGGACCCATGTAAATGCCACGTTGGCATGATACCCACCTGTAATTCCAGCCTCAGAAGGCAGAGATAGGGGATCCCTGGAGTTAGCAGCTATGTCCAGGAATTCTGGGTTTGATTGAGTGACCTGCCTTGATGAGTAAGGTGGAATAGGGATTGAAGAGGGTTCCCAACAGAGACCTCAGGCCTCAACACATGTTCACATGTGTGCATTTGTATCCATATGTGTTAATACACTTGCAAACACATGCACTCATAATACACACATATGTGCATGGAAATGGAAAAAGACAAAAATAACTTACTTCATCCTTTCAGTGAAGTGATCATGGTTAACATTATGTGGTCATTCTAATTGGCAGTACTTACCATCAAGTACTTAGATTTTTGTGAGTGATTACTGAGGACATTAGGATTGCTGTAGGATTAAATAAGACATACTTTTAAAGGGGCAGCATAGTGCCTGGCATATAATAAACAAGCCATTGTTTTTACTGTTTGTAGTCATTGTTATCATCTAACATTCATTTTGTACTTAATGTGGTGTAAGCTTGTTCAAGGTCATAAAGGTGCTAAGAGGTGGAGCTGAACCCTGAACTTGTTCTGTTTGATACTATTTTTTTGAAAATTGTATTATCTAGAGTCTCATATTGATTACAGATTGTTTGTAAATAGTCTGAAAATCAATAGATAATAAAAGATACTGGGGATGCATTAGCCTTAAATTTAGTGGTGATTTGAAAAACCTCTTTTTGGGTTGGCTTAATCCATCAGCAGTGCTTCTATTTACTTTATAAAAAGTTCCCTATAGGGCATTGTGGTCAGACAGAGAAGTAAGGCACAACATGATCTCTGCGAAATGCATCTGAAACCAATCTGTATTTCTCTTCTGTCTCTCCTCTCCTCTCCTCTCCTCTCCTCTCCTCTCCTCTCCTCTGCCCTCTCTCCTCTCCTCTCCCTCTCCTCTCCTCTCCTCTCCTCTCCTCTCCTCTCCTCTGCTCTGCTCTCATCTCCTCCCCTCCCCTCTCCTCTCCTCTCCTTTTCCCTTTTCTTCCTCCCTCCCTCCCTCTCTCTTGTGTGTGTGGTGTATATGCATGAGTGTACAGATACATGTACCCATGAGCATGTATGTATAATTCAGAGCATGATGTGAGTGTCATCCTCTGTCCCTCTCTGCTTGCTGTCTAGAGACAGGGTCTCTCACAGAACTAGAGGCTTACTATTTTGCCTTGCCTGGCTGGCCAGTGCTTAGAGGAGCCATCTATCTTTGACTGTCGATACTGGGTCTACAGGCATGGGCAACTTTGCAGAGCCAGCCTTGCAGAATATGAGTTGGATGTCCATTAACCTGATGTAGGGTGAATGCTTAACAGAGAAGGAGCCTTCCACTATGGTCTTTACCTGGTTTAGGCAATAGTCTGGTGCCTAAAAGATGCCTGTGTTCAACTTTAGTTTCTTCCTGTTTGAAAGTTGGTTTGGAGCCTCTGACTCTGAACCACAGTACTTTTGTATGCAAGGAGATAGTGATGGTGATCTCACAAGAGTACTGCAGAGGACCCAGCATTGTCTAAATATGTGATGATGTGAGGTAATGTCAAGCACAGGACAGAGAGTTCCTTAAGCTTTTAAGATTAAGTACTTGTCGGTTCCTACATGGCTTCTTCCTACCAAGTGATTTGTCTGATGAGCTGTGAATTCGCAAAAAGAAATCACATGTAGCTGTCTGTCACCAAGAAATACTCAGAAATTCATCGCTCAGGAAGATAACACTTCCAAGAAAAAACTCACACAAACTCAAGGAGAAAGCTCTTGTGGTTGACAAGTTGCTCACCCTGAAGTACCTAAAGGGGTTTTGATTGTTTGGTGAACTGATTAAAGTGCTGTTTAACTAGATCCCTGAAATACCCCCAGATGGTGAGGTTGATAGGACAGAGGGAAGAAAGCAGTTGTAGTTGTAGAGTAGGGGTGGTGTTTGCTCCAGAACTTGAACATTTAGAACACAAGCAGAAGGTGGGATGACCTGGTCCTAACTCTCAGTCTCCATATGCCTGTAGTGACTCTGAACTTGGGGAACTGTAGACTTAGGAACTTCCCATACTCCTATTGTCTACCATTGACCAAAGTTTGGACCAGGATTCTCCTCATTCTTCAGACTAGCCACAGGAGCCAGTATAGGGTAGAGAGAAAAGGGAAGGGCAGAAATGGGTGGTCTAGACACTACTAGTGTTCACAGGCAATAATGTGTGACCACACCTGGTAGAATATGACTTATTAAATTTTAGTTTTCTAATCTGAATAATACTAATCTACTCTTAAATGTTATTTTGCCAACTATTAAAATGCTAAGTAAATATTTGAGTAGTTATGCATATGTTAATTTATAATATGATCTGATTACATTAATATTTTATGTTATATTTTTAAGCAGTGATTCTGTCAAACCATGGTACATATAAGCCAACATATTTATAGAGGAAAAAAATCCCTTGGGTGACAAAAGTGCTGATGTGAGGGATAGAAAACTCAAGCTTGATCTTTGCTATTTTCTGGAGCACTATAATTAGGTTTTTTAAAAGTCCATTGGAGAAAGGGAGCACTGGATTTGAAGCAATCTATGCATTGAATCTGCATTCCAGATGTTAAGATTCTGTATGATGGGTAAGATGAATTAATGTCAATGACAAGGTTCCTGTTGGTTAATTGTGCCAGTGGGATGAGGTAGATAGGCACAGTGGATGCTGAGGTTTCTTCTGTATCTGCTACTCCCACTGTACATCTGCTTCAGGGGCCATGGTGCCCAGACAGCTGGTGCCTGTGGATGAAGCTGAGGTGAACTGTTGTTGATGGTGTTCAATCACAAAACAAAATGCTATTGGACTGCCCACTCATGCAGTCAGGAACCTTAAAATGTGCAGAAATGGTCCAAGGCTCTAACTTCTGGGTCCTGAGCAGCTGCCGGGGTTAGCCTGCAATAGCCAGTTCACCAGAATATGCCCAGAATATGCTGTCTTCTGAGATGGCCTTGCTGAGTTTCTCTCTTTTAACCCCTGTCCTTTATCTTTTACATTTGCTTGTTTTCTTTGACTATATTCCTTTCTCCCCACCCCATGCTTATTCTCTTCTATTCTCACTTTGGGAGCTAGAGGGCTGTTTTCCACTGGTTCCCTGATCTTCTTGACTTAGATCTGAACCGTACTATTCAAGGTGAGTGATTACTTCCCTCTCAGGGAGGAGAAGTGTGGGTTGTAATGACAGTTCTTTATAGACTAATTTCCTTGACAGTGGAGATGGCACTCCCTGGGCCCCTGAAGATTTTTTCATGCTCTTCTACAAACAAGGTGGACAGCTTGCAGCAGGAAGCTCTGCTAAGCATTCCTTCCAGGTGTGGACTGTTCCCCCCCCCTTTTTTTCTCTGACTATAGATTGAGGAAACTCGGCTCAACATTGACAAGATCTCAGAGAGTGTGGAGGAAGCTAAGAAACTCTACAGTATCATTCTCTCTGCACCGATTCCAGAGCCAAGTGAGTGTTGACTGAGTTGAGTCACTCTGTACTGTCCCTTCAGATTGGGTGGAGACAGGCTTGTTTTCCTCCATTCTGGGAACATAGGGTAGCATATACATTCCCTTGTGCTAATGAACATACCATATCACATATCACCTCTCTTCTCTCTGAGCTCTCACTCCCAGCCTCCACCAGCTCTTCTCTTCATAGTTCCACTAGAACCATTCAAACTCCTCTACATTCTAGCTCATAATTCTCATGACTAGCAATGCCTTTTACTGCTCCTCACATAATCTAAGCTCCATCCAGCTTTGTGCCTTGGTTTGCAGTCTTTCTCTGACTGGGTTTTCTAGCTTCCTTTCAGAACTCTACTGATCACGTTCATTTTTATTTGTTCTTTTCCTTATGAGGTGTTCTGGAATGGTTCAAGCCTGTGAAGTCCCTTCCATCTCTTACTTGCATTTGTTACTGCTGCCAAGACAAACTTTTGTTCTGCTAAGTGTTTTCTATTAGGAGAATACAGTTCAGCACTGTATTTTATGTTCCTAAGAAAAGTGAACAGTCTGCTCCTGTTCCTCTTTTACCTTGCTCAGTGACTCTCCAGTTCTTGAGCATATGGGCATTGTCTTCTCATGTTCCCATTCCCTCTCCACCCTTTCTCTTGCCACTCCTGCCCCATCCTGCTGATTCTTGCCTTATGCTAACCTCTGGGTGTTGCACATTCCTTGTCCCCTCATGTTCTTTATAAATCATTCTTTCTCCTTGGGATTCCTGCTCTTAATCTCCTTGGCTACCTAGCTAACCTATAGTAGTCTTTCTTTTAAACTAACTAGCCCATCTACTGACTCACTGACTGACTAATTAACTAACTAACCAACCAACCAACCAACCAACCCACCCACCCCTTGGCTACCTAGCTAACCTATAGTCTTTCTGTTAAACTAACCAGCCTACTGACTAACTAACTAACCAACCAACCAACCAATTCTTTTACTTTTTGCTACCCTGTAGTTTTTTTTATGACCCTCAGGTCTATTACCTCTGCCTTTATGTGCTCTTCCAGATCCCTTGAAGCTGTGCTCGGGGTTCTCCTTAACCATCCCATGCATACCTTGCTCAGAACTTAAACCATACCTTGTGCTTCATATGTACTCCCTATTCATCTCCTGCCAGGCTCAGCCCCTTGAAGACTGAATCTATATCTGATCCCTTAGTTTCTCACTCAGTTACAAGTGTGAGTGGAACTGAGTGATGGGTCTGGAATGAAAGGTCCTAGCTCCTGTTAATTTTGTTTCATAAACCCACCATGAGTACGGTGCTCCATGCATCAGCTGGGACAGTTCTAGGCATGTAGTAAGTACATCACAAATACTTGCCTCATTTAAGTTAATGGGCTTTGGTTGAAATTTCTTTTCCCCAGAGCGTCCATAGACTCCTCTCCTATGCCCCGAGATTGAGCGCACATGGTAAACAAGTTAATTCCTCTAAAAGCATGACTGGGATTGGGGAGGCTTGTTAAATAAAGCACATCCTAGGCTGTGATCCTGGGGTATTTGGTTCTTTAGGTCTGGGGTGGGGTGTCTGGAAAATGCCTTTTATTTAGTTAAGTAATAATTTATTTTGGATGTGAGGGATTGAGCCCAGGGCTTGGTGCATGCTAAGCATGTGATTTACCACTGTGCCATTCCCTCAGCCTGACATGCTTTAAAACAAACAAACAAACAAACAAACAAACAAACAAACAAAAAACATCATTTCTCTGTGACAGTCACATCCACAGTGGTAGATTCTGGATAGCGACTGGGATGAGCACTGTGGTGGCAGTGGGGGTCTGAGACAGCTTCTGCCTCATCTGTTGTAACTCACAGAGCAGAGTATTCTCTTTTCTAACTGAACCTACCTCTTATGTTTACCCAGAAACCAAAGACGACCTTGAACAGCTCACAACTGAGATCAAGAAAAGGGCCAACAATGTCCGGAACAAGCTGAAGAGTAAGAAGGGAACACAGGAATAAGCCAGTTTCTACCACAACCAGATGCAGCTTCTCAGGGCTCACTCATCAACTGCCAGTCACCTCAATGGGGGTGATATCACATGTCCCATTTTTACTGGAGGCTGGGGCACTGTCCCTGGAATGACTTATTGTATCCTTAGACATTCATTGGCACTTGAATTCTCACTGCAATTGAAAACAGCCAGAACTGAAGTTAGGAAGTGGGAGTTAAAATGTGCTTTCCAAGGTGCAGGGTGCCTGTGCCCTTTTCCCCAGTACTCGGGAGGCAGAGGCACACAGATCTCTGTGAGTTTGAGGTCAGCCTGGTCTATAGAGCTAGTTCCAGGACAGCCAGGGCCACACACAGAAACCCTGTCTTGAAAAGCAAACAAACCAACCCAGCCAAAACAAACCCAGAAAACTGCTTTCTACTTCTGTTGTGATTATTTTAGCTTAGTCCTTCCGATCACTGATTCCCCAGCACCTGTGTACATTTGAGTGGTACCTGCAGAGGCATAAGTACAGGGTTTGTCATTTAGCCAGCAGACATCCCTTACTGTGTGTGTCTTCTCATTCCTCCCTTCTTCCCCGGTTTTGGAGCACAGCTCAGTAAAGCCACTATCACAGACACAGTTTCCATTTAAAGTGCTTGTAGAGTATGTGTTATTGGTAAGCGAAGAAATCAGTATTACTTCTTCCCTCTCCAATAAATTACAACAGTTATTTTAATCAGTGTGGAGATAAAGACAGCATCTAAAGATAATGATAACGTGATTGCCCTGTGACTAGCAGTTTATTTGATTTTTACATGGTATTTTAAGGAGGTTCAGGTTGAGCATCCTTAATCCAAACTTTCCAAATTCAGAGTACTCCAAAACCTGAAATTTTTGAGTATTCATGACACTGTAAGTAAAAAATTTCACACCTAACCTCACAAGTGTACTAGAAATAATATAGTATAAATAAATTATCTTCAAACTCTAAGGTATATGAAAGACTTAAGCATTTCACATAAAGGGTGCTCAGCTTGTATTGCCATCTTTCCCATCTTGTAAAGAAGAAGGCAGATGGTTGAAAGAGGTTACATGATTTTCTCCATGTTATATTGCTAGTCCATGGCAGGGTAAGGATTTGAGTCTCAGTCCCTTGATGACCTGAACTGAATTGTTGTGTTGCTGAGAGCAAGTGTGCAGCTCATGAGAGTGGACATTAACTTTTTGCAATTATACCTTCTGGTTGTTCACACCTCTGTGTGTGAGGATGGGTAAGGAATCTGTGTGGATAGGACATTTTGTGGAAGGAAGGAAGGAAGGAAGGAAGGAAGGAAGGAAGGAAGGAAGATGTGTTGCTAGAATAACCCTCTCACTCCAGGCATGGAGAAACATATTGAAGAAGATGAGGTCCGGTCATCAGCAGACCTTCGGATCCGAAAGTCCCAGGTAACTTTGTTTCTGGTTTAGTAATCATTTTTACCATTTTTAAATTATTTTTTCACTGTTGTGCATTAAAAGAATATGGAACTCAGTTTGAGGAACTGGGAAAAGGGAGCCCTCTCAGTTGAAGCAGTGGTCAGGGCCCATTGTTCCCTTTTGGGTTTCTCTCACATGCAAACGGAGGCACCTATAATACTTCCCTAGATTCTTCAGAACTCAGCTTCAGCACCCCTTGTTTTATAGGCAAAGTAACTGATGTCTTTCTTCAAAAGATTGTTAGTTAGCAGTTTTCCAGTTTGGAGTCAAACATTTTGGAGTCATCAAAAACATGACCTGTGTTCAATGGGAACCAACACAAAGCGTAACCCCAACATTTGGGAGGTAGATGTTGTTCTTTTGCTGCAGCTACCGCCTATGAAACACAAAAACAAGACTCAGCGTCCATGTGGAGTTTATTGGTGGAGAGAAAGGGGGAAGGGTAGCTGGTGGCCAACTGAAAGCAGGAGAGAGAGGGGAAGAGAAAGCAAAAGAGAGAGAGGGAGAAAGAGAGAGGAAGAAAGCAAGCAAAATAGAGGAAGAGAAAGAGGGGGGTGTGCTTGCTTTAAAAGGGAAACTGAGTCCCCTACGCAGCCCCGTAATGAGTGATATAGCGATGACATGGCCATGCATGTCCTGCCCATCGTCAGGGGTCAGGGTCAACAGACTGCTGGTTTCCCACAGTAGAGGCAAGAGGACTGCCAAGACTTCAAGGCTATCATGCCTGAGCTATAGCATGAGAACATTAAACACACACACACACACACACACACACACACACACACACACACACACACAGGAGAAAAAGGAAGGAGGAACCTGATGCAATGTTTAAGTGGTATAGAAAATAAACACTAAATAGCAGGAGAACAGTGTAAGAAGACAATTGACTATATAGTGATCTCATCACTGAACGATTTCATGGAGAACTGGGGGTACTAGAGAAGCTGGGCCTTGGGTAAGCAGCAATGCCAGTGGCTCAGGAGGCAGAGCTTCCCTTTTTCGAGAGGAAATAAGAAGTAGGGTCAGGGATGAGTATGGCTATGTATGTGCCTGTTGGTGGCAGTGGCAGGGTATGAGTGTAGGACAGATATAATGGGGTAGCTTATCTTGACAAGAGAGTTTGTTGCTGGTTAGCAGATGTGACTTTCCAGCAGATAATATAGTGTTACACTCCCTCCCTCCCTCCCTCCCTCCCTCCCTCCCTCCCTCCCTCCCTCTCTCTCTCTCTCTCTCTCTCTCTCTCTCTGGTTTTTCAGGACTGGGTTTCTCTGTATTGCTTTGGAGCCTGTCCTGGCACTTGTTCTGTAGACCAGGCTGGCTTCAGACTCACAGAGATCCTCCTGCCTCTGCCTCTCGAGTGATGGGATTTAAAGGCAAGTGCCACTGACTCCCAGCCCAAAGGTCTTTAAGTATTAGTTGAGGGAATTTGGATCAGATTCAGTAGTTGAGAGTCTTTTTTTTTTTTTTTTTTTTTCTTCAGGTTACACAGCGTGCTAGGGGGATATGATAGTCTTTTGGGTGTGAGTGGGGAAGAGACAAGAGGCTTTTGCGGTGATTTAGTCTGAATTTACATGGAAGCAGTGCATTTGTTAAAAAGAAAAGATATCAGTAGGGTTTGATGCTGTGAGGTGGGCAAGGGATTGAAATTATTATGAAGCTCTGTTGAGAGCAAATGTCTATTTGTAAGCAAGGAAAGTTGAGGTCGTCAGTTGGGCTAAGAATTGCTTGTGGGAAGGGTGCCTGACGACTTTAGCCAAGGCTATGGTGGGAAATTGCTACTGGGCTCCTAACTTCTCAGTGATTTTCTCCCTTTGACTAAAAACCATGTTGTAAGTTCAGTAAAGGAGGAAATGGGTAGTGGAGATTGCACACTGAAAGTGGCAGTGGACTCTTCCCATAGCACCAAACAAGGAAAGCAAATGTGGGGTTTGTATTTTGTGTTTTGGTTTCAAGCCCAGGCTGCTGTACTGTGTTGGGGAGGGATAGAGTCGTACGCCGTCTCCTGGGTCTGCTCATTTAACATTGTTTCTGTAGCATTCAGTCCTCTCCCGGAAGTTTGTGGAAGTGATGACAAGGTACAACGAGGCTCAGGTGGACTTCCGTGAGCGCAGCAAAGGGCGTATCCAACGGCAGCTGGAAATTAGTATGTGTTTGAAGTTGGGCCAATTTCATTCTCTACCTTTTCCTGCTTTGTGGTTGTCCATCCCAAGTCCTGGGAGAAGCAACAGTGACCCTGCTGCTTGCGTCTTCTGCATTCTGTTTGGTTCTCAAACATAGGACAGATGCTATGGGATTGATATATCTGTAATATGATATTCTAGGTTGGAAAGTGTTATATTTGTTGAGCCAAGGAAATTATTCTTATGGGATCCAACACATCATACCTGCAGGGGTCACTGACTAAATAGTCGCTCTCCTTAGAACACTTTGCATTGTTTTGCTGTTAAATGGAAAAGTACCTTTATGAAACAAAGTGTAGTGCTAGTTGCTGTGAAGAATTAAAAAAAAAATTAACAAAATTACATTGTTTAGGAATTTAGTGATATGGAAGGGTAGGCTTTACAAAGGAAAATGGATTCAAGTAGAAGGTGTGTGAACAAAGATGTTATCAAGAAAAGGCAGATGTGTTTGGTTAGGAGTAGCAAGTTGCTCAAGGTTGGAAGGAGGGTGTGTTTGAAGATGCACTGTAAAGTTGAGTGAGGCAGCCCACAAATTGTGCACTGTCATAAGGGTCTTGGGGTCTGTGGTATGGTGGTTGGGGCTAATAAGCAGTTTCAGCTGAGAAGTAATAGAGTCTGTGCTTAGGGTGGGGATTGACTGCTGATAATGTTAAAGATGGATTGAATTGGGAGAGAGATGAGTCAGAGGGTTGTTGGAGTCAGTTTGTTTGGGAGGAAATTTTAAATGGAGTTGTGTTTTGATCTTATATTTTATGTTGTATTTCTTTTGTTACAAAGCTGGCAAGAAGACAACGGATGAGGAGCTGGAAGAGATGTTGGAGAGTGGTAACCCTACCATCTTCACTTCTGGAGTGAGTGACTGAGGCACCATGGACAGGGAGGATCATGGGGGAGCTTCATTGCAGTTGCATCTGTGTAGTGGAGGGAGCTCACGTGTGAGGGCTCTGCAGGGAGAGTCTGTTACAAGATGGCTGATAGCTTGTCTGTATGGGGCCTATTGTAGATCATCGACTCACAGATCTCCAAGCAAGCCCTCAGTGAGATTGAGGGTCGGCACAAGGATATCGTGAGGCTGGAGAGCAGCATCAAGGAGCTCCATGACATGTTTATGGACATTGCCATGCTGGTGGAGAATCAGGTAGCTGGCTGGGGGAAAAGCACACATGTCCTTGAAAACCATAAATGGAGGTCTGGTGGGGCAGGGAATAGGGAATTTTCACCATGGAACAACAAAATTCTAGTATCTGAAGCAGAGGTGTGCATTCTTACCAAGTGTTGGCATTTGAGCCAGTTCAGTCTTGTTATTTCTACCTGTTACTTTGGTTTCACAGTAATTCTAGTTAGTAATGAAGTTTACTGTGTTATGACAAGAGCCTAGTTCACTCACCAGTTTTGTATACCCCCCCCCCCCCAAAAAAAAGGTAAAGACTTGGGTTCTTCGGCTGGGGAATGTGTAGCCTGCCTGCCTAGAATTCATGAGGTCTTAGGTCCAAACTGTCTTCTGCTCCAGATCTGCATAAACCAGGCATATACCTATAATCTCATCACTTGGGAGATGTAAGCAGGAGGATCAGGAGTTAAGGTTATCTTCTAATACAGAGCAAGTCTGAGGGGCAGCCTGGGCTACATGAGACTCACCCTTCCTGAAAAAAAGGGGGGTGTCTGTAAGTGTTGCTGACAAAGCCTTGACAATTAGCCTAACTGATGTGAATTATTTTATTGAAAAAAATTTCCCTCCATTTTAACATAGAACTCCAAAGCAAGTTAAGTTTTCCAGTTTTGTTTTTATATTTCTGTTTCTTTTTCTGAGCATTTTGGCATTTTTTTTTGCTAAGAATCCACAGTAGGCATGAATGAAGAATCAGTAAGAGAATATTTATAGAAAAACTTATGGTACTTGACAGTTCATCCCAAGGCATGCCTGCTCAGGGGTGGAATTCAATAGCGCTTGCATTTCTGATAGGTGGTTTGTCCCTGGTTCTTGGGATAGAGTTAGATATCATGCAGGGTCACAGTGCTGTGCAGCTTTTACCAGAACTTCCAGCTGTTCAGCCATCTGGACAGAAATGTAAACTCTTGCTTACTAGGTAGACAACTGAACCTAGTTGAAGCCTAAGCACTGATTGACTAGTTTTTTGTTTTGTTTTTAAACATTAGTTTTCTGACCCTTGGTTTGGTGCTTTTCTCTCATTCCTTTTTCTGGCCTTGGAGACCTTTTCTCAATCCCTCCATTTCCACTTTTCTTTTTCCCCCACCATATTGCCTTGCTGAGGATCTGGTTTGAGTTTCAAGTGATGGTAAGTGCCTTGCTATATTGAGAACTCTATGATGATAGGATGGGGTTGAAAAAAGGTCTGGATGGGTGAGGAGAGTGTTCTACTTCAGAGTCTCAGGACGAAAATGGAGTGACCAAACTTCAAACTTCTTGATGGGAAGTAAAAGCTGGGAAGTAATTGGGAATCTCATTGAAAGACTAGTATCTGGAGGGGAAGAGGAGCATGGGTAAACCCAACACCTACTACTTAAGGAGCGTAGGGATTTCCCTTGAAGAACATAAGTATTTTCTACTTATGCTAACCCGATACTTACTGAATACCTTTTATGTGCCAGGTGCTATCTTACAGTAGTGGGTGAACTCATTTTAGGCTGAATGAACCTGGTTTGGATCTGAATGGCCAAGAGGGGGGCAGCAGCCTCCTCTTATTTTATTATTATAAAAATAGGAGCTTTTCTTATTTTAGTCCATCCCTATATGCTTAAATGATAAGAAACTTAAAGAAAAATGTGAGAGAGGGATTCTCTCTCTGTCTGTATTTACAGTTACTATGCATCTAGAAAAACTACTTCAGATCTTCAGCATAGTACTGATCTCAAGGAAATAATGCAGGATTTATAGAATGGGTAACCACTGTTAAAGTTGGGCAGTTATAGCTCATCACTTGGAAAATGGGAACATTTGCTCAATCGAAGGCTGTGCTTAAGGTTTCCGTGTGTCTTGGAATGAGTTCCTTCACCACATTAGCTGGGGCTGTTGTGCATGGGTTAACAGATGTGACTTGTGTTTCCTTTCCAGGGTGAGATGTTAGATAACATAGAGTTGAATGTCATGCACACGGTGGACCATGTGGAGAAGGCACGGGATGAAACTAAAAAAGCCATGAAGTATCAGGGTCAGGCTCGGAAGGTGAGGTTTTCATTTTGTCTTGGGATGAGAGAGTCCATTTTGTTTGCTACTGCGCTTTCTCTCTCCCCTCCTTCTGTCTGTTTCTGTTGCCACCACGTCTTGCATCTGGGGAAAGGGAGCCATGATTGACCGTATTGAGAACAACATGGACCAGTCGGTGGGCTTTGTGGAACGGGCTGTGGCAGATACCAAAAAGGCTGTCAAGTATCAGAGTGAAGCCCGGAGGGTGAGCACCTCAGTCTCTGCTTGTTGCACCTTCTCTTAATGTCTTTTGTCATCTTTATGCCTCTGTCCTTGAGCCCATGTCCTTCCTCTCTGTCCTAGCTTCTTCCAAACCCCTTACCTTAGTCTTTCCTATAGACATTCTTCCTTCCCAGGTTACCTTGCATGGATCTGGCTCTCACATGCTTTTGGCCCATGAACCAACACTTGAGCACCCCTGTAGGCTGGAGGCATGGCTGAAATCTTGTCATTAATCTGAATGTAGCCTATGACCCTTTAACACATTACTCAGCTCCTTGGATCTTTGGTAATGTCTTCCATCCGGTCCTCCATTCTTTTTCTATAACTTGAGCCTAGCACAGATGCTAATTGTTATGTGAAGGTTACCACTCATTCATGAAGTGCCTCCTTTCTCTACTACTAGATGAAGCAATTGAGGGTCAGAGGATATGTAGCTGGCTTTGGGCCACTCAGCAGCATAAGAGCGGGATCTGGCATTCACAGCCTAGTCATCTGTTTCCACCTTATCTATCTACCTGCTCTCCTGGTGCTATGCTCAAGAATATTGAGGCTTCTGTCCTCATTGACTATGGACATCTAACTATGGCAACTTCTGCCCTATACTCTTCTTTGTTTCTCTTGGGCATTGATATTTTTATTCTTTAGTTCTTTCTTTTCCAACTGCTCTTACTGCTTGTGCAACTATTGAGGGAGCCAGCAAGTTATTTTTCATTTGAATTTATTTAGTATATGTGGTCTGAGGTATATACAGGCCTTTAAGAGGACAGATGCATACAAGTTGGTAATTAGGATTATGTCAGATAACTTTATGCTTCCTGTTGAAAAGGCCAACTTATATGTTTTATGGATTTGTCAAGTGCTGCTTGGAGACCTCATGATACTGACTGCTATGAGTGCACATATACAAGCCTATGAAATGAGAGCTGTAGGCACTCCACATTTTTGCTGGCTAGGCAAAAAGGAATGCAAGAAATGTAAACTATACATGAGAACATTTTTATAGATAGGTATGTAGTTTTAATTGGGATTGAAAAGATTTTTTTTTCTTGGTAAAAGAGATGAGAAGGGCTGAATTTCGAATGAGTTGATATTTTATTAACTTTTTAATAATGATTTTACTTTTTTTCCTATTCCTTTCTCCAGAAATTGATAATTATCATTGTGGTAGTAGTTGTGTTGCTGGGCATTTTAGCGTTGATTATTGGACTGTCCGTTGGGCTGAAGTAAGAGTGGCCTAAGGGGCTGCTGCACTGAAATGTAAGTAGATAAATGGTTTTGGGGGACTCTGGATTGATTCTTCCCAAGGAATGAGTCTGGGACTTCAGAATTCTACTCTTTTCCAATGACTGTCACAATGAGCTTTAAAACTCTTGGTAGCCTTGATTTTTTTTCATTTCCTTAAAATTCCATTCTTGGGTTCTGGCTGTAGAATATCAGTCATGTCTTTGTTTGTGGCCTGAAGATTCTGATCCTACTTTGTCTTGTTGCTTAACACACTTGACACCTCATTTTGACTGTGCCCAGGAAGCATGGGTGGATGTTGGGTATAATTTGGGAGTTGTCATCTAAATTCTTAGTCACTTTCATGGACATTGGGCTTAGCCTTCCTTGTCCATTAACAACATAACTAAGGCTTTATGCTGTGGCTGAATAGTTAGCTCTTGAATGAGGTACTTATACTAATTTTAAAGTGTTGACTCATGGCAGAATCTGCTGAACACCTTGTGCATGTAACTGAATCTTCACAACATTCTTATGAGGCAGCTAATATTTTAGAAGTAGAAACACTCAAGTATTAGAGAAGGGTCAAACTCACACAACTAACAGTCTGCCTAGAAGAGTGCTTTTCTACATCGTAGTTTTCCTGTATAAAATAAGGTAGTGTTTGTCATTGTCTATAAAGGCCAGAGAACTCTAGGCTAGCAACTGAAATTTATAAGATATAGCTAGTTAGTAAATTAGGCTTGACATCGATGAACATGATAGATGACCTATTAGTTCTTGGGACTTAAGAACTTTAGTATTTCTTCAGTGCTGGAGTTTATATTATTTTGCTATCATTAAATGTGATGAACTTTGTATTTTTCTTTTCTTTTTACTACAAATTCAGAAATTAGATTACTGAGGTAATAGGCATGAACCTCCTTGAGAGCTGTTATAGACTTAGATGTTGACACCAGGCTGATCCTTCATTTTACTTGTGTCTCACTCCAGTGTATCACTGCATTTCTCCCCTTTCCATGTGACTGGGGGGGTCTGAAGGTCATATTATTAAATCTTAAGTACTCAACTTTACATTGAGAGTTAACAGTGATGAGGCAATCAGGCCTCATAGGTTCTTTTGATCCCATCTCTTTTTCCTGGCATCATTCTAGTCCCTGATGACTTCTGTTTATAAAGTTTAGTGTTGTTCTCAGGCTTGACTATCTCAATACAGAATATGGTAAAACAAAAAGATGTAATAATTGTTATCTTTCCATATCCTCAGATGAAAGATGCCTTACAAATTCATGATGCCTTTTAACCCTTATTCCTAATCCCAAGAATTCAGAATGTAGAAGACTCATTTTTGAGGTTTACACCATCACTTTTAGTTGACTAACCAGACTGCACAGCATTGAGTTGCTCTGAAGTTACATGCTTTACTGCATGTTGTCAGTATTCTCTATTAAAGGCAAGGTTTATTGGCACCTAGGTGGAGGCTTAACAGTCTTCCATGCCAACCCATGACCAAGGGCAATCTGTGTTTACATTTTGCAGTTGCAGCTACAGTGCTGAGATGCCATCAGTGCCCCTAACTTACAGAAAGCCACTGGAAAAACTCTTACATCACTTCTAAGATGAAGCAGCCATAGTATAACATCTGAGATTTTCTGTAGTGTTTTGATTGTGCCTGTCTGCTTCCTGTGAAGGGAGGGCTCCTAGAGAGGATTTGGATGTATGATGGATGCTTCTGAAGCTTGAATTCAAGAGGAGAGCAGCCATGTGCCAGGCAGGGAACAGGTGTTTTCAACTAGTGATTGTGCATCTTTATGTCTTTCCACAGGTGATTGTGGTATAAAGGCTTATTAAGTGGCCTAGGTGTTTTTTGGTCCTACTGTTAATAGACACAGTAATGGGGTTCATTACGTTATGTCTGTATTTTTTGTTGATCCTACCTGCCTCCTGCTGGATCCCCAAACCCCAGAAGCTCTCTGTTCACCTTTCATGTCACACGTATTTTTATCATCATTCTCCCTTTTCCACTACCACCACCATAGACCCCTTTACTGAGAGCAGCTGTTCTCAACCCATAGGTTGTGACCCCCAAAAGACCATCAGAAAACACAGATATTTACATTATCATTCATTACAGTAGCAAAATTAGTTATGAAGTAGCAATGAAAATAATTTTGTGGTTTGGGGTCAGCACAACATGAGGAACTGTATTTTAAAGGGTTGCAGTACCAGGAAGGTTGAGAAACACTGATGTAGAGGTTTTATTCTTTCACAATGCAGATCTTTTATTTCACATGTCCAGCCTTGGGTTTGTTTCTGGGCGATTTCACTTCAGTGCTGACTTCTGCATCCTCTTTTTTGTAGGCATTTCTGATCTTTGATCTCCACATGGGGGTTTGTGGCTAATTCCTCGTTCCTTAGCATTGTCCTGTATACTGATCAGCCCCTCTCCCTGCCTCTCTTAGAACCTGATTTCACTCCAGCTTGGCCTGACCACTCTTGTCTCCAGATGGGAATGGAGTTCTAATGGCCTTCCTGAGAACAAGGGGCACCTGTTCCTTTATTTCCTTGTAACCATCCTTGGACCTGGCTCAGCAATCTACCCCTGGAGGAATGTAACCTACCTGATGCAGCCCTGAGTTCTCTTCAAAATCACCTCCCATCCTAGCAGCTGAAGTACCTTCCCTCCTGGACTGTGTGAAGCAACCCAGCTTTTCCTTCCTTCTAGTGTGTCAATTATGACTTGTGCCTTGGAAAGTCCCTGTGAGAACAGCCTGAGGCACTGTATTTCTACCTCATGGAATATCCTCCTGGAATATGCTTTGTAGGGAAGTAACTCACAAAATAGAGGGGTTCTTTTAAGTTTGTCAGTAGTTTGGCTTGGATCAGAGCCCCCTTGCTGGCAGGATGCCAGTCCTTAGTTTGTTGTCCTATGTCCTGAAAACACAAGAGATTAACAGATACCATTTTGGCCTTATAAGTTGATTTATTTGAAATACATCTTTAATTAGGCTCTAAGTTCAGCTTGTGGGACACTCAGATTTTACTCTGTATTCACTCTTGTTTACTCAGAGGGATCAGGGTGATAAAGACTGAGGGTATGGAATATGCTTCCATGTCTGAGTCTTGGAAACTGGGTAGTCACTTTTAGAGAACTGCTTTGTGAAGCTATTACTCTTGAGGCCAAGCAGAACCAGGGATTTATAACAGGGCTAGGGACAAGGTGCTACAGTCTCAGACTCTGGAAGTGTCAGTCATTTGTGTGTTCCAGGTGTACTTTTATAACTATATGTGAGAGATATGTACATAATTGTCTGCCTCTCAAGAAGTAGGAAAACTAGAAGATACTCCAACTCAAAAGAAAAAAAAAGTGACAAGGTAAACAACAGAGCTTGGCTAAAATCAGGTAAGGGATATGTTTACCTCAAGTGAATCATAGAAATGTGATTTTCCTCTTGCCATCACGAAGCTTGTTTAATGGATGGCTGTTGAGATGGGAATCAGAATCAGATGAGACCTTTGGAGTAAGGACTAAGTTGATTTCCATTGAATTTTTCTGCATAGCAGGTAGTGTAATATTTATTGATCCCCATCTGCTGTCTACAAGAGGGTGGTCCAGAGAACATCCCACAGCTATCTGATGTTACCTGCGCTGGTGGGAGACTTGAGAAGCTATAGAGCAGCTCTTCCTGTGCTCATCTTCCATAATTCTTACCATGGAGGCAACAGCCTGGAAATCTTTAGTGACTGCTACCTAGTAGTAAGCCTTAGACCTTTGGTGGTCCCTGCCAGTACCCCTGATTTTGGGTACTTAAGCCCTAACTTTAATGTTTTTGTGGGGTAGGGTGAACACTCCAATCTAGGGACTGCCCAAGAGTTTCCATTGTAAAGGCTCTTTCTTCAGTCACCTAGCACTCAAGACAGAGCCGCAGGGATGCCCTCCTCCCTATGGCTGTGATGTCTGACAAGACATAGCTCCAGTTAGGAGGGGACACAACCCTCAGCGCAGGCCTTCTTTTTCCTCTGACAGTGAGTCCAGGGGATGAAAGTTTGAAATGAATGCCACATGTGAAGGGCCATTGTTGTTCATATTTTTTTAATGTAAACTTGATTATTTTATTGCTAATTTAAAAATAAATGAGTTTATATTGATTGCAAAATGGGTCTGGGTTCATCTCCTTGCAGAACACTTTGATGATATGGTGCCACCATGTGGTGACTTTTGGTGCCCCAGAAGAAACTGTCACTCAACTTGGCTTTAGTAGGCAGTAGGTGATCTGTTGGGAATATATCCAGAACACAGGGCAATACAGATCCCCATGGATATGATTTTAAGTCTAACCTGGACTCATTTCTGTGAACAAGCCAGATCCATTCATTTTCCTTCTGGCATTTCCTGTCCCTTCCTTCCCTCTTCCATGTGTAGCTGTAGCTGCCTCCTTTTTGTCAGAATGTGTATTTGCACGATGATGCCATTTCTCATGTAACTCTCTCTCCTTACAATGAGCAGAAGAAGATCATGATCATGATCTGCTGTGTTATCCTTGCTATCATCTTGGCCTCTACCATTGGGGGCATATTTGCCTGAAAAAGGTGAGCTGTCTGGGGAGGAGGGTCAGACCTGCTGTCACTTACTTGACTACTTGTATTCTGCTTGCTTTCATTGTATGTCACCAGACTGCTTAATAAGGGGTGGAAGTTAGAAACAGGAATAGGTGAATGTTAGAGAAAACAAAGGAAAGGGATGTTTTGGAGAGAAGTAGGTGAAGAAAAATTGGGAGTATGTAGTCAGTGAGGGAGATGGGGAGACAAGGTAGAAGTCTGTCCCATGATTGAGTCTGGTCATATAGTGCTTCTGAACAGCAAGGGATATTCATTCCTCTTGTAAAACCTGAGCCCTGATAATCTGGAAATGGCAAAAGGAGTAAGAATTAAGTTTTTCATTGACTTACTTTAAAATCCCCCACTTCCAGGGTTAGGACAAGCCAGTACAGTTTTGAGAATAGCTTCTCATCCTTGCAAAGGAGAGGTGGTATCCTGGCCATGAATACCAAGTTGTGTAATATATGGTTTTTCTTTCCGTTTTCTGTTACTTCCTTCTGCCCTCACAGATGGAGTCTCAACAGGCATCTCCAGTCTTCCACCTCTCTGGTGCCATCACTTCTCCCCTTCAGAGTCCTCAACAGCTATGCCTCTTTTCATTAGGAAACTTACAACACAGAGTACCAATCAACTCAACTGCTTATTAAATGTTACACAAAGAGGGAACAAACAAATGAAAATGCACAAGTGCAGGGGGCACGGATGAGGGAACAGGAAGCACAGCAATGTAGCTGGTTTAGATGGTTCTTACAGGGCAGGCCTGCATGGTAGACAAGCATAATGGGTTCCTGTTAGGGTACAACACAGGGAGCCCGAATGCCGGACAGTGGTGAAGAGGCGGGTAGTATACAGTGCCCAACTCACGGGGTCTTAATTGAACTCTGTGAGTCTGTCTCTTAGGTCATGGTACTCAACTTCTACTCTTAACGCTCTTCTAGGCCTCAATCTTAACCAACCAGATGTCTGCTTCCTTCTTGAGGGTCCAAGAATATTTCAAAGTATAGATTGTTTAAGGATCGGCACTATGCCTATCTTAAAACACTTCCATGTCCCTACTGCTTAGCATAGTGCTTGCCACCTTCCATATTTGCTTACTTGTAGTCAAGCTTTGATTTCATTCACGGATGAGTCCTTAGGCTGGGTTTTTAAACTCTTTAAGATATCATTGAGAACATGGTTTATTACTCTCAGAGGCTTATGCAAAAATACCACAACCCCCATTACTATATTATACACTTTAAAGTGATTTTTTTTTTTTTTGGTAGGGGGTTGGTGAGTAGAAGTTGGGTTTCTGTTGGTGGTATAGATTTCTATCCATAGACTCTAATTTGTGAGGCAGAGACAGTGGTTGGTTTTAGGGTGAAGGCTCATTAACTATTAACTAAACTCATTCCTCCAACAAAATGAAGAAATTTATACTATGGTTCAGCTCCCAGTAATCAACCAAAACAGCACAGTTTGTGATCTGGAACAAGGGGAGGAGTAAGGGGAAAAAGTGACCAGGCTATTACTTTAGATTACACCAAATCTGTGTTAGCAGAAACTGCTGGTCAGTGACAGGTACAAAAAACTGGTTCAGTCACATCCCCAATCCAGGAAAAACAAAACAAAATAATTTATTTAGAGATTATTACATTGAAGACACTCACTAAGATAAATTAAAAATCTGGAACTAAAAATATCCTTTTGAAAGTTAAGTGAAATAGTTCTGTTCTTTGTTGGAGTTCTTACTTTTTAAGAAACTGGATGAAAAAAAAACCAATGTTTTATCAGTGTGATCTTTTCTATCCACCTTCAAAAGAAGCAGTTTAGTACTTCTATCAGCTTGTGTTTCCTTTAGTTTGAATAGGGGATACTGGCTAGTTCAGAAAAACAGATTAACCATGTTACGGACTAATGGAGCTGGAAGCATGAGGTTTGGATCACACGGGACCCTCATTTATCCAGCAGTAACTTGTGTGCTCCACATACCTTAGATGCCAAAATGCCCTTCCTTCCATAGTGTCAGACCTAAGAAGCACCAAAGGGTTCAACTTTTCTTTTGCTAAATGGTACATTCCTTGTCACTTCTAATGTTTCCCCTTCTGAGCTGACAGAAGATGGGTGGCTGGGCATTAATAAATATCTGTTGAACCTACTGATCTAGGTACTGTCATTTTTTTATCCCTATTATTCAAAAAAAAAAATACATTTGTATTGAGCAAAATGTTATAAACTAGGCAGTATGCACATTTACGTTTTCAGCTGTGAAATGCAAAAGCAAGTTTCAGTCCTGGAGATATGTGTGGTACAAGGCAGGAGCTAAGACCAGCCTGTTTTTTTTTTTTTTTTTTTTTTTTTTTTTTTTTTTTTTGAGATACAATCTTGCTTATAGGTAGCCATGGCTGGCCTTGAACTCAATCAAGATCTGCCTGCCTTCGCTTCCTGAGTGCTGGGATTAATGACATTCCTCCACCACAGCTGGCTGTGCCAAATTATTCTTAAATCTTTTAAGCAACTGAAACTGACCAATGAGAAGTTGTACCTTGAGGCTACACTCAGACTTTAATTAGGAACAATCAGATGACACAACTTTTCAGAAGTCATTTACTCATGTGCTTAGCCATGGTTGAGGAACTACCAAAGATGCTAAAGACAATGAAGATGCAGATTCAGTCTCAAGAGTCTATGTGCATATGGGTTCCTGTGCTTTCGCTATACACGCTTAGGCAGGTAGAATTTTCCCCAATACCGCCCTTTCTGCGTCAAGTCATACGGGCTCAGGAATTTCCGTATGCCAAGCATGTTGGCAGTGGCTATGCGCTCAAAGGTCCAGGGGTTTTGGTTGTTATTTTCTCTTTCTTTTTGATTTTGGCGCATCTTTTCTAGAGTCTCACGGCTCACAGCCTTTGCTGGAAACGGCAGCTTGTGGGCAGCTATGTTCAGGAAACCCTGTACCTCTTTAAATTCACAGCGTCCACCTAACTCCACTATGAGAGTGCCAGTCTTCACAGGTGTCACGTAGTGATCAATGGCACCTTTACCACCCCCCATACGTTGCCCGACACCTTTTCGAGTGATGGGTTTGAAAGGAGCTGGTACTCGCCATTTGGCAAACATGTTCTTTGGATCCATAGAGCGGTTGATTGTCAGGCGCATCATTTCAAAATGGCCCCAGTGGAGGTAACCACCTCCTAGTGCCTAAAAATAAATAGGAAAATTAGAATACAAGGGGATTTAGAAATCTTTTATGGAGTCTATTATGCCTGCTCTTTTACAGTAACTGGCTTTAATGTTACACATGAAAATAAACGTTAAGTTCTAACTAGTAATATGGAGGAAACACCTTGGGTACAGTAATAAAGGACAGCAAGGGCAGAGTCACTCCCAGGGAGAGTTCAGGGAAGCCCTTTTGCAGATATGACACTTAAAGCTGAGGATAGAATTCTATGAACTAGTCAAGAGAAGAGAGTCCCAGACAGAGAAACACTGATGTTAGTGCCCTGACAAAGGGCTTGGTGAGGTTGAGCAGAAGCCAGTGTTTGAGGGGTGCAGGAGGAATGCAGAGTGGACACAGGTTCCGAGAGGTCAGCAGCAACGCTCATGCAGGCCAGAGGACTTTACAGCTACCACTATGGCTGCCTCATATCCACTTGTGTGGCTACTGGCATTACTTTTTACGGAAACCACTCAACAAGTAGTGAAGCAGCCGTTCTAACCCTCAACCAGGAATATTTCACTTTTACTAAAAGCTTAAAGATTGCGTTTTAACTGGGCAAATGAGGCAGCACTTTTATTCCCTGCTTTCGCAGTAGCCTTCCTCACTCCTCAACAGTTTCAAACCATCTGGAATAATAAGTGGAGATCTTGGCATAAACGTTTATAATCTTAAACTAAACACTTTTGGAATAGCAAAATAAAAACTAATATCTTGTTCTATACAGTTTCACCCAGATATGAATCCCCTATCTGTTCAGTGTATACTTGTTGTATAGGTTACCTGTCTGTGGGGTTCTTAGTAGCCACTAGGTTATCAGATCCACTGTGACAGTATCACAGGACTTCTATACAGAATTCTGTGCTACCCACACTCTTAAGCATCCAGTACTGAACTACTGTTTTCAATCCTACACTGAAGAAAGACACATTACTCATGTTTACTTGGGTACCTAGGAGCCTCAACCTACATCTATTTAAGAGTAACTGGACTGTAGTAGCATCTAGGTGTGGCAGTTCTAATGTGGAGGAAGAGACTACAACTCAATGAGCAGAAAACTTTGTTGATTTCATTTACTACTCACCAAAATTGCAAAATTGCCTTCTGTGAATTCAGTGGCTTCAGCTGAAGGTCCTCGTATGTCCTTCAAATTTTTAGGTTCTCTTCTTACTTTTGGCACAAGTGGGACCCTTTCAACAAATTTCAGCTTGGACCTTTCAGGGATGGAGACATCTAGCAGGACAAAAACAACCAGGAATAAGCAAAGCTATGCTTCTCAGAGGATCTACATTCTCCCTATGAAGATACACACCAATCAAGTGAAAGTCTTAGGTCATTGAATAATATTAATTCCAAAGGTTA